AGGTTGTGATAAACTGACAAGAAACGTGCATTAATTCATCAGTATGTATTCTAGTTACAGTCTGATCTCTTATCATTTCTTTACGTTACGTTAACAGCACATTTACTTAATTATATTATTATTATTATTTCCCTGCTTTTCCTCCAGGTTTTGACTGCAGCTGCTGAGTAACCTTCTGTGGAGTAAACAGAAAAGTCCCCAAGACTTGAACTTTTTAATGCAATAAGTTGGGTCCGCTTTTTAACAACAACGATGGCTTTGAGCTCGTTCGACATCGACGCACCGCGATGGGATCAGTCCACGTTTATGGGTCGACTGAAACACTTCTTTAACATCACAGACTGGAGAACGGTGATCTTACCCGACTCGCGCCTGGATGAAGCCAAAGCTTTAGTAGAAAGCTGCAGGTAAGAAGACGAACACTAAGATGAAGTTTAGAAGTCCAGAGTTTGTTTTTTTCTGTTCTGGGCTAATGTAGAAACACGGCAGCTCAACATGGATGGTAACGAAAACAGGATTCTTCTATTCAGGTGATTATACAGTATCGTAAACATACCTATGAATATTATATTCAACTTCTGCCGATAGATCCTCCTAAATGTTTTACATCGTACATAAATAGATATTGCACACAGTATGTGGAATCTGTTCCCCAAAACTAAAAAAAAACTATGCGAGATGGTTTCTGGATGTAGCTGATGGTGTGAAACCGTCTCCTAACGTCTCCTCTTGTCTTAGTGTGTTCAATATGTGTGTTTTTGGTGCTACGTAGGGCCGGATCCGTCCCTCCCGGCACCACGGAGGAGCAGCTCCACTACGCTAAGAAGCTGTACGACTCGGCCTTCCACCCAGACACGGGGGACCGCATGAACCTTATCGGCCGCATGTCCTTCCAGGTCCCCGGAGGCATGGCCATCACCGGCTTCATGCTGCAGTTCTACAGGTACCGAACGAGAAGGAGCCCACCACGTCATACGGTTTCACAGAGGAAGCTTTAGAGGTTTCATAACTGTCTGTTTCTAGGACAGTTCCTGCTGTGGTGTTCTGGCAGTGGGTGAATCAGTCCTTCAACGCTCTGGTCAACTACACAAACCGTAACGCTGCCTCCCCCATCACTCCCAAGTAAGAGTCTGATGTACATTCAAAGAAGGAACCATATGTCTGCTCCAGCTTCTCTCAGACCTCAGTATCTAAATCTGATGTTATCATGTTATCATTCAATAGTTACAACAACAGTCTTAGTTTGTCGGTAACATTTCCACCTCTCTTCCAACACATCTGAATGTTAATGATGGATTTACATAAAGGCAACAGCAGGAGATAAATACAGAGCATTTGACTCTTAAGTTACAATCAAATTTCGTATTGTCATTATTCATTCAACCTGAGCTCACAGAGGATCACAGATACATCTCATATGAATTGAAAAAGGTGTTTGTGTGTGTTTATAAGCTGTGGCAGAGGTAGACGGAGGATCTCAACCCCGTAACTATATTTTACTAACATATAAACATAATTCATAGCGAGTTGAAAAATTCTAATAATTAAAACTCCATCCAATTATATCAAACACACAGCGACAAGTATTACCAGCACTTCCTTCCATGTTTTGGGTTTTCTGGGTTTGAATACCCTAACAAACCTAACTAACGTCTGAAATTGGCTTTTATTGTCTCTCTCAGGCAGATTGGAGTCGCCTACATTACTGCAACCAGCACAGCATTAGCAACAGCAGTCGGACTCAACCTCTACACAAAGGTACAAACACTATTATTCACTGATTCACTGAATGTTTACTGTTGACTGAGAGTTTAATGTTTCTAATGGATCTTTCATATTCAAAGGGAAAATTAGCAGATCTTTACAGTGTGGGTTGTCAATGTAAATGAACAACGTTTAACTTCCCTCCAT